ACACATCTAGATGTGTTTTGGATACCTCCCCCCCCCTGTACCACACAGATCACACACACACCTAATACCCGGCCTTGTCATTCCTCCACGACCCGAGCACACCTTCACCATTCCCCCTTCTATCACCAAGCCGGCCAGGGTCTGACTGCCTCACTGTTATCTTCAGAGGGGTGGCCAGTGGAGAGAGAAGGGCCCGAATAGGCGGCCAGTGAGACAGAGATAAAGAAGAGATCAGGACTTGAAGTCCTAAGTAACAGAGGGGCGAGTGCCATGAACCTTCTCCAGAATCAGAACACAAGAGCCACAGTCTAGGATAGATGGCCATGTCGATGACATCTCAGGCAATACTGGCAACACCAGTCGTGTCTGTAAACATGGGCTTCTTTAGTACACAATTGGTTTTGACGCTGGACCCCATTTCCAGCAGGTGCTGCTCACCACCAATAGATGGAGCCTTCAATTCTGGCCCTGCTTAACAGGGATGTTCGTACCACCTCGTTAAGCAGGGTCCCGGGGCGTGACGTTTTATTGTATAAAAGAAAAAAAGAAAGAAAGAAAGAAAGAAAGAAAGAAAGAAAGAAAGAAAGAAAGAAAAGAAAAAAAGGAGGGGTGGTAAGAGCAGCCCATTCTAGTACACTTTAAAGCGGCCACTCCATCTACTGGTGGGAGCAACACCTGATGGAAACTGGGTCCAGCGTCCCATTGGGACATGGATGAGATCCAGTATGACACAATGTAGGACTCATAAGGACTGTGACTGCAAGATGTACCTCTTCACCCAAGCTTTGGCCGTGCATTTTCATAATTTTGATGCTGTATAGCCAAAGCCAAAGCCCAAGCCAAAGTTAGGGGGCACAAAAAAAAAAAAAAAAAAAAGGAAGTAAAAACGAACATCGTCAGTTTGTCAGAGGCAAGGTCATCAGTATCGGACCTTTCATTGGCTTTCCAGATTATCCAGATCAAAAAAAGAAGAAGAAAAAGAAAAAGTCCACATCACCCTCCTACCTATCCATCCATCCATCCATCCAAATCTATTCACCATCCTTGAGCAGATGAACTCTCTGTCCTTTTCTCATTTGTCCAGTCCATTTCAACAGCATTCATTGGGCTCAGCTCTACCAGGGGAGAGGAGATAATGAAGAACTTTCTTTTTTTTTCTTTTTTTTTTAAGAAGGGGAGATAAATTCCAATTTAGAAAAGAAAAGAGCAGTAACAGATATGGATTCTCTGTACTTAATTTACCACTGTGCATCCCACGTATCTGCTGACGTGTGTCCAGTCTGGCTTGTTTGGAGGAAGTGGTGGTGCTCTTCTCTAGGTCGACGATCCCAACAGGGTACAGGCTTCCACGTCAGATTTGAAATGTCACTTCGTCATTGCTCCTTTCCCCCCTTGGACGCCTTTCCTCCCTCTCTCAAAAACATGGCTTTTGCGCTCTGACGCACACGTCAATTCAATTCCTAATCCACGTACAAAAGTACACTCCTAAGTTAAGAAAAACGTTTTATACCTGCCTCCCTGGCAGCTGAATGGCACACACGTGGAACTGGTGATATGCAGGTTAAACCACCAGACTCAGAGCCTCTCCACACCACTGTCGAAATGAAAAACGCTCAAATGCATGTTCCTACAGAAAGTGGCAAGATGCATCCGTTCCTATGAATAGCATCAGATGCATCTGGCCACTTTTGGGGTAAGATGCTTTTTTCGTTTCTACAATGGTGTGGTGAGGCCCTCAGTACATTTCCACGCTATGTTTTCAAAGTTGCGGCTTGCATGCAGCAGGCCTCGGCCGCCAGAGCAAGATGGCTGGCGGCGCCAGTCAAAAGGAGGCCAACGCCAGTTCATAGTTTTTGCCGTTTTGTCGTTTCCAGCCCCCCCAGCTGCGTGCCCAGCTCATATGGCGTACTAGACTTTCGCCTTTTACTGAGTTGTGTTGCCCTGTAACCCAGCAGGGTGGGGGCGTGAGGCCTGCAAGAGCTCAGCAGGGAGTAAGACGTGTTGGGAAGACTTAGAAGGGTTTGTTAGGAATTCTGAAGGTTGTAAGCATTCGTAGAACCTCTGTGGGAGCCTACTGTATGCGTAGTTTCTTAATAGGTTTTGATCAGCCGAAGCCGGGTAATGGCCCCAGTATCTCAAATCAAAGTTTTGTTAGCCGAAGCCGGGCAATGGCCCCGGTATCTCAAATTTTCAAAAAATGGTTGCCAAAGGGGTCTTAAGAATGATTTAGGATTCTGCGGAATCCTAGCAACTTTTCTCAGACGGCTCCATTACTGATATAGTGATCTGCGGCTGTTCGATGCCAGAACGGCGCTGGCCGGAGCTGGGGTGTTGCCTTGTAACCTGCTGATGCAGGAGTGTGAGGCCTGGTAGAGAGATCTGGGGATGCTTTGGGGTGGGCATCCTAAGGGACAACCAAGGGTTGCTGCTGGGACGACGCTGGCCGGAGCTGGGGTGAGTTGTTTTGCCCTGTAACCCAGCAGAGTGGGGGTGTGAGGTCTGGAAGAGTCCGGCAGGGAGTAAGACAGGGTGGAGAGTTTTGGAAAGTTGCTAGGGATACACAGGGTTTGAGCATTTGTAGGTCCTCTGTGGTGGTGTGGTTTTGCGGTGACCAGACCCTTCTCTTGATAGTTCTCAACAGTCCTCAGATTTTAAGTATTCTCTTGATAGTTCTCAATAGTTCTCAGACTCTTGAAGTTTTTTAATAGTTCTCAGCAGTTCTTAGATTGATTTTCAGCCGAAGCCGGGTAATGGCCCCGGTATCTCAAATGATTTGCGTAACTTCATATGGGACGCTGGGCCCGGTTCCCAGCACGTGCTGCTCCCCACGAATAGATTGGAGCATTTGTCCCAAAAAAAAAAAAAAAAAAGGGCTGAGCACAGTCTAAACAGCTTACGACAATCTTTTACACCCTTTTTCTTTTCAAGACCAGGGTGTTGTAGAGGTCGGTTTCTGGACCCAGGACAGGTACCTATCTGCAGTCAGCAACTAATTTACGGGACGCAGACCATTCTACCTTGGAGGATCCCCCTCAGACAGCCCCCACTTACTGCAGGTTCCCCAACGATTTCCTCCACCAGAGTCTGTCCCCAACGATTTCCTCCTACTGGGATCCCTTAAGAAAATCCCCTACTGGCTAGCGCTGCATTACCGTCCGCCTGCGCCTTGGTCCCCCGCCGGGAATCGGCCGGCACGGCTCGCACTACTCCCTGTGCGACACGTCAGGGTGGTTTCTCTGCCTTGTGACGTGGCCTCCGATCTGGTTGATGGCATGCCACATGGCGTGTCATTTTTGGGCCTCTTGAGAAGGGCGGAGTCAGTAAGGAGGGGTGCATTAGGGTGTGCAGGGGTGTGTGACGTGGGGTGAAGCAAGTGGGGGCGACAATTGAGTAGTGAATGACGATGGCGACTTCGGGGGATTTGTGGACAGAAGCGGTTGAGTGGTTTACAGCTGCCCAGGAGACTAGCGTGCGGTTCAGCCTTGCGGTGGCAATGCTACGATCGGCTGCTGCTGTGGAGGTAGTTCCGTCGATTTCGTGGCTTCGGAGTGTGATGCAGGGTCTGTTGGAGATATCATGGGGGTTGGAGGAGGGGCCGGCCCCCCATCTGCATGCGATCTTGGATAGGCCACGACTGGACAGATTGATGCGGAGCCACTTTGAGGAGCTTGAGGAGGGGCAAGCTCTATATGCCGTGTTGGAGGCCCGATACTACGATAACGAGGACGACATCACGGACGATGCCAACAGCGACACAAGTGCGACCGGCGGCCATGCTATCAACAATCTCAATGAAGCCAGCACCTATATTGTCGACGATCAAAATCACAATACCAACAACCACAATGATGATGACTATAATAAGAGTGCCGATAATGATGGCGGCAAAGACTGCTTCGAAGGTGACGATGCCGCTCTCCTTGAGGCCGCTGACGAGAACAACATTAACATCAGTCTTGATGACAACAACAACAACAACAACAAAGGCCGGCACAATCAATAACAATAACGACGATGACTCCAATAACAACAATAACAACTGCAATTCGGCTGCAGACAATACGCCGGGGAACCGTGACGACTGCAACAATGGTGTTAATAACAACAACACAGCCGGCGATAACAAAAATGATAACAACACAGATAACAATAGCGTCACTCACGGAGTGGGCGCAAAAAGCAATCGCAACAACTGTACTGTGCGTGACGGTACTGTGTGACGGTGCAACGGGAGGATGGATTTTCAACTTGTGCGTCAGGAAACGACGATGCTTGCCGGTGTTTTTTGGGGTTTGATCAGGGGTATGGGCGACTGGAGTGGATGATTGGAATGATTGGCAAACGGGAAGACTGTGTGGGAACGCTGGAAGTTGGATGGTGGCGCGTAGGGGTCGGATAGTGACGCTTGGATAACCGGGTCGCATAAGGTAGCATGTGAGTGATTGGTTCCATCGTGCTCTGTTTTGGGTCACGTGGTAATGGTCATGTCTGGCTTATCGATTTGCCATGTGGATTTGGTAAACTAATATGGCAACCTAATCCTTGTGCGGCTCTTTAGAATACAGGATTTCGCCATGTGGCAGAGCAGATGGCGCAGTGAGTAACTAGCATCAGGGATAGGCATCAGGGCTGCCTATGCGAATCATTGTGTTCTGCCACGTGGCCGTTTTGCTAGGATTTTTCTACCTCCCTTTCGATGACGAATCCACATGTATTCTTGCCTTCTCTGATTACCCCTCCTCTTGCTTGATAAGCCTTTTAGGGTAGGCATAGATCTTGCGTCTTGAAGGGCGGTTGTATCAATTGGTCCTCTATTCTCCCTACTGCTGATTGCCTCTCCTCCTCATGGCATGGTAAGGATTTATGTGGCAGATGATGAGGAACTCAGAGTAGGAATATGACTTTGGATTACGATGGGCAGTTAATCCCCTCAGTTGAGGGCAATCAATGCTGCTCATCAATGCTGCTCATCAGTTACTTGGTGTGCTTGTGTGTCGCTTTGGATGACCATTCAGATGACCACTCTCCTTCAGTGGGAAGGACACGTGGCATGCCTACACCAGTTTGAAATGTTTTCATAACAATCATTTTTACACGTCAAGGGACGCTTGACCCGCTTTCCAGCAGGTGATGCTCCCCACCAATAGACGGAGCCTCCCCGAGCATGCTAGTCGTGTCTGCTCTTATCAGCACCTCTAGCATTCACTCGGGTTGTTTTCGGAAACCAAAAAAAAAAAAAAAAAAAAAAAGACAACCCCCTACTGTAGGTTCCCCGCCTATATCCTCCAGCAGAGCTTGTCCCAAGCCAACCCTCCCTCCAAACGGGACCCCATCCCACCTAAAGGTCCTTGCCCCCCACAAAGCAGAGCCTAAGGTAACCAACACACATGAGCAGTCTAACTACAAACCCCTACCTGTATCCTAATTAGACTGCTAACTGTATCAGGCAAACCCCTCACAGGCCAGGACACCACATACAACACCATGGACAACCCTTGGGTGGTGCACAGGCAGTGTCTGTAATAGGTTATCATGTGTCAGCCCAAGGGGTGTGTGTCCAGCCGTGCGTCATTCTAACGCCCTGCCGGTGTCCATGCATGAGGCTGCGGATTTGAACCCGCAACCTCATAGCACAATGCGCATTTCCAACCAGTGCTCTAACCACTGTCAGTGAGCTACATCGCTCCGTCAACTGGGGAAAAAAAACAAAAAGCCATTCCAAGGGGGGGGAAACAAATAGGAAAAAAGCGAGTCCTCCACAACACTGTTCCTTCTCTTCCTGTCATTCAGGAGACTGCTCAACATTCCAGAGTTTGAATGTCGTTCCCCAACTGGCAGCCAGGTTGGACATAGAGCGTCCCCTTTTTTTTGGAAGAATAAAAGGGTGTTCAAGTTTAGCCCTCACAGACCTCAACAATATTTTATCCTTCAGGATGGAGACTAAGGGCACACTCACATTAGGACTTTCCTGGATGTATATGACCTCTTTTCCGACCTTGCCGGGATGTATCTGGACGCAATTACGTCCAGAGAGAAGGGGAAAGAGTCCTAGTGTGAGTAATATGCCCTAAGTGCTGTACGATTTGATCCATTCAGTGCCGGAGCTCACTCATCAAACCACCAGTACTTCTGGAAGTCGTGGCGTGCATGCAGCCAGCCATTGCTACAGTGCTGCAGCGTTTCATCCCCGCAGGTTGTGCTGTGGCGTTTCCACTTGCACGGGAGGCACATTCATCCCCGCAGGTTGCGGCGTGCATGCCACCCCGACTTTTAGAACTGCTGGCAGTGTAAGTGTGTGCTGCGGAGTTTCCACCTGAAGGTATTTATTCCAGAGCGGCAGGCACATTCATTCCCGCAGGTGCGCCGCAGGTTGCAGCGTGCATGCAACCGCAACTTTCAGAAGTACTGGCGGTGTAAGCGTCCCCCCTGGGGAGTGCGCTCGCAAGTCTTAGAGTGAAACTAAGGAATGGATGGGGTCCGGCTTGGATGTCCTGACCTGTTACCCCCCTCCACCTAAAGAAAAAGGGGTTAGTCCCTAACATTACATTATTGACTGTACGCGGATTTGAATTCATGACCGGTTCCTGGTACGGTGCCTTGAACCTAAGACAAGAAAATGATGCTCAGCCACAGCGCGCGTCACACCAGCCAGAGGACTTGCTCTGCTGATTTTTCTGTCTGCAGGCAGCACACTTCACCAGCAGGCAAAGACATATGATCATGACAAATTTGGAAATCTATAATGAACCAACTGGTCTATCGCAGTTGGTAAACCCATGAAATGTTGAAATACAGACCTGAGCTTGAACTTTGAGTCTAATAGACGAATTTCAAAGGAGATGAATACAAATGAACTCGTTCTCAAATCAACTTTTTTTTTCCCTTTTTTTGCCTTTTTGGGGAAACTACGCGGTAGTCACAAAAATGAGTTATAATTGCACTATGGGCCAAGGTATACAGTTTGCAATTGCAGTTCGGGCATTTATACAACCCAACTTTCTGGCCAGGTAGGGTGCCCGAAGTGCAATTGCAAACTGCATCTTGCCCCATAGTGCAATTATAACTCATTTTTGTGACTCTACTGAAGTTACCCCTTTTTTTCCTTTTTTGAACAACATTTGCGCGAAATCCTGCTAGCGGAGTTGGTAAGAGCAACCTCCAAGAGCAGCCTTCGCAGGGTTGATGGCTCCATTCTATTGGTGGGGATCTGCACCTGCTGGAAACGGGGTAAGATACAGATTTAACAGCAAGGCAGCTAAACAGGTAACAAGCACTCAAATGGGGGCAGCATTGATTGGCCTCTCAAGGAGGGGAGCTGCACCTGCTGGAAAACGGGTCCAGCGTCCCTTTTTACAATAAAAATATGAGAATGTACACAATTGGAAATAGTAACTTGTGAATCATCACCTCTTCATCCATTGTTGGACGCCAGATCTAGCACTACTATCTAGTCCTGATTCACTCAAGAGTCCATGAAACTCCAGTCTGAAATCTTCACACTTTCATCATACCCAAACCAAGATTTTGGTGCTCTCCCAGACGACAGCCCCCCCCCCCTCCCCCCCTCTCTCTGACCTACCCCCAC